TTATTTTCCTTTTTTTATATACTAATTTCACTCTAATTCATTAGGAACTAATATGAAAAACAAATATTTTATTAATATTTATTATTAGTTAGATTTTAAGGTATATATTTTTGTCAATTACTCATTAAAGTTGTTTTAAAATTTATTTCACTTATGCACTAACATGGTGCTTAAAATATTTGTAATTACAATAATTATTATTTACCATGTTGATTGCAAAATTAATGCCACATGGAATATCAATTCAGAAAGTACATTTTTACCCACAGTATATTGCGGTATAATAATAATAATAAATCTATTTAAATTAAAATTGTAAATTAAAATCTTATTAATAAATGTTATTGTTAAATTATTAGGCGAGCATGAGTGTAAGGATCATAATAGTAGCAAGGCTATAGGATATTTCAAACAATGTTTATCCGGAACAAAACTTGGTGTAGATTTCCGAAAGCAGGCTGACCAAGTTGGTAATCAAGAGTTTGATAAGTGTTTAAATGAGATGGTTAAATATAAGCATGGTTATGCAAAAAAGTTTGATGAAAAACTTGTTGACAATTGTTTCACTAATCTAGCTAATTCAACTGACCTTACTAAATGCTAAGTGCTTTAATTAAATATACATATATAAAAATTAAATGTATTTGTGGGAATTATTCATTAAATACTTACGCATATATTAAAATGCCAAGCATATTATTATTGCATAAAGTTACTATGTAATTTATTAATTATTAGATAATTATTTAGATTTTGTGTAAGTACCTATTGATATTTCTTATATAAATATATATTTTTAATTAAAATATTGTTTTGATATTTAATAAAAGTTAAGATTTTAAAGTCAAATATGTTTATTAATTATTTTCATAAAACTTCATTTGACCAGGTTTTTACTTTCAAATTGCTTACTTATATGTAATGTGATAAAATAACAATTATCAAAAAAATTATAGTTTAATCACCTAAATTATGACATCACAGATATAAACTGTATATAAATATAAGATCACATATTATTTTATAAATTGGTAATGGGAACTTTTATAAAATTACAAAACTAATAGAAATACAATTAATTATTTGTTTATGATTTAGTTATTTGATGTTGATGGATACCCGTTCAAAATACATAACACAACTGTCAACCTTGTTTATATCAAGTAGCTGAATAAATTATATTTTATATCTATTGTATTTTAAACAAGTTATTTTACAAAATATTGCCAAACAAGTCGTAATAACATTTTTTCATAAATTATGAATATTTTTTGGCATATTATTTATTCACCTTGTACATTATTTATACACATTATACTAAATATGAATTATAATACAATATATTTTATGTAATACATATAGTAATAATATAACTTATAAATTTATTAAACTAATAAAATTATCAGCGTAATTATCATTTTTATTAAAGTACAACATTTTATTAATTTTAAAATGACAATAAAACTTATCCTTGTCACTATTATTTTGGTGATAATTTACCAGGCTACTTCTAAAATAACTGTAAATTGGGATCCGGATGGTACCGGTACGTTTAGGCCCACTATATATTGTGGTAAATATAAGGTTAATTATTTAAATTTACAAGGTTAATTGTAATATTGAATATAACAATCACATTAAATATAAATTATTTAAATAAATATATTTTTAATATTAGCTGAATGTAAGAACCCTGATGGTCTCAAAGAAATAAACACCTATAAACAATGTATTAGCACTACCAAACTTGGGAAGGGTGGCAAAAAGCAGGCTGACCAACTTGTGGCAAAAGGGGTGGACACTTGTTTAAACGATATGTTTAAATACTTCCGCAAATATAATGAATTTTCACAATCAGATTTTACAACCCTGCTTAATTGTGATAGTCATATATTAAATTTAACTAGCGTGTTTAAGAAGTGTTAAAATTTTGCTTGTTATTCAATAAAAGTTAAGATATTCAATTTAAGTAATTTGTATGTCTATTAATTATTTTTA